CCTGCGCCGGCGATCCCTGCCCCAGTTCCGAGGCTGGATATCAAAACCACGAAAAAACCCCGCCGACCGGAGGGCTGAAGGGTGCCGGGAAGCCTCCGGGACTCACCCAGAAAATGGCGTTTCATTACATTCAATGCTGGTTTTCTGGGGGGAGCCCCTACGGCTCCCCAGAGCTACCTCACCAAAGACTACCTAAGAAAACAAGGGGACATACCCGGGAGGTGGTCGGTGAATCACTCCTCAACAACACAAAGTCGAGACAACAACCCAAGGTATATCATTCACCAGAAAAAAGGGAGAACGGCCGCAGACGAAGAAACCTATGATCACGACCATAGGAGCCAAAAACCACTGCGCCTGAGAAGAACAAGAAGCTCTGCCACATGACCCCCAGAGGCGAATGCCAACACGAAAAGAAAACCGAGGCAAAGTAAACCTGACCCCAAGGAGCCACAACTACCAAGGAGAAGAAAAACAGGAGAGCCACCTTGTCCAAAGACCAGGACGACACAGGCAGTGCATAAGCAGGCCGGAGGTGTAACAACGCATGATACAACCTGCGAAACGGCGCAGAATGAATATCGATACCAAGAGCTAGCAGCAGAAACCAAGGTGCCAGACCCAGGAACGGCCGCAAGCACCTCAACATCCTCCGCAAGCCAATCCTATGACAGCCCCAGGAGGGAAAAGAAAATGCAGGACCAAAACGAAAATGCCACAAGTGTGCAAGTCCACCTCCACAAGTGCAGCTGACAGGGAAGGAACTCGCATAAGGAGCTGCCCCACACCAACATCCCGCAGAAGGGCAGGAGCGAAAAGACTCATTAAGAGGAGCAAAATCGCTCCCAGGAAAACTAGTAGCGCTGAGACAGTGTGAAGAGAAGAGATATTCACAAAAGAACAAAAAGGCCAACACCCAGAAGCTGCCGGGAAGAGGACCCACAAGCCCTAGAAAGGACCGGAGGGAAGCTCAACCGAATGACAGATGCACCAGAAAACGGGAAGGAGCAAAACCGTCCCGAACCTTCGAGAACAAAAAGAAGCAAACACAAAGGACGAAGGCACCAAAACCCCGTCGCACCCGAGACCAAAAGTCGTGCAGAAACTCCAAGAAGAGGGGGACATGACGGAAGAAGGCCCGTCCCGGAAAAAAGGGGCGAAGATCGTAGAAAAGCACCCACCGACAGGACGGAAACAACGGGCACAATGGACAAGGAAACCAAGCCCAGGGAGGGGCCGACCCCCACAAAGCACGTGCGGAGAGGGGGAACGGAAAACCCCACACCACAAAACTGCAAGTCCCTCCCAGACTGGAAGAAACACCCCGGCAGGGACCAACGGGGCCTGAGGCCCCTCACATGAGCCCCACCCCACCCCCGGGCACCCACCCTGCAGGCCCCGGGGCCGAGCTGTCCCCTCAAAGCCCCAGCGTCAAGAAAAACCCCGGGGCAGCCATGAAAAACATGAAGGAAGGGAGCCCACTAGGCTCTGGAACTTGAACCAAAACCGGAGGATAGGCAAGGGGCGAGACGAAGACCCCAAGCTCATCCCCAGCCAGCACAATGAGGCAAGGACAAGACAGAGAATCCAAGGAACATGGAAAAACCAGGCCCGGCACAGCAAGACCGGCAAGGAAGGAGAGCCCCAGAGGGAGCACGGAAGGGCCGTGCATAACGCCACAACCAACCCCGACACGCAGCTGCAGTACCAAAACTGCAGCAAAACGTCACCACACCCCCCGAGGAAGCGACAGAGAAGATAGATAAATCGTACACGAGTGGCACACAAGGGGACAAAGGCGGAAACCGAGCACCCAACTGAGCCACAGGGACGGTAGAAAAAACGTGTGCAGTGTAACAGGCAATCAAAGGAACACATTAGGCAGCCCAACATGGGCTGACCCCATACACAGCCCCAAGAGCTGAGATGAGAGTGCCCAAGAAGCACAGAATCCGCCCGACAGGCAAACGACAGGGAAGAGGTGGAAACAAAGAGCCAGAACCCAACCTGCAAGCACAAGGAGGCGAACAAAACCTCCGACACAGGAAAACGTACTACCAAACAGGCACCCCCACCGTTGCACTGCGGAACAAGGTGGAGGCGGGGCCCCGAACTCAAGCAAGGTTAGACAAGCACAGGAGAGGGGCAGGAGGAGTACAGGCAGGAACCGCCCAGAAAGGAACCGCCCAGAAAGGAACAAGAGGCCACCCGCAGACACCCGTGAACCGAGGAAGGAATCAGGTGGAGAGAACAAGAGCTGCCCAGTATGGGCTGCCCTGCAGTAGGCACCTCAGGTGATACGGTCCATGTTCTCAAGTACGTACGTACACCCATTCCTTCTTCCAAAAGCAAAAACAGCGTCAGGACGAAGGAGACGCCAAAACCGCACCAACTCACCTGCAGAACATAGGCTCTGAAGGGCCATGACGCAAGCGTTCAAGTCCGCATCCGCCGGAGGCGGCCAGTGCGCCCATGCTGGAGAGGGGAGCAGCGAAGGAGGCTCCCCACCCTAGAACGCAGGAAAAAACCTCATGATTTCCTCACAGCGGCACCCCAGAACACCCCCAAAGCAACGAGGCACGGATTGGATTAAGAAAAGAGTGAGAGGCGAAGCCCCCCGAGAGAAATGGAAGCAGGACATGTGTTCACACCGCCCGGAACCAAAACAAACTCCCACGGCGCATGCGCAGGACGCAAAAGAAAGTAGCCCAACAAGGCGAGAAGTAGCCCAACCAGGCGCGAAGGAGCCCAACCAGGCGAGAAGTAGCCCAACAAGGCGAGAAATAGCCCAACTGGCTACAAGGAGCCCAAACGGCGACAAAGAAGCCCAAACGGCGACAAAGGAGCCCAAATGGCGACAAAGGAGCCCAAACGGCTACAAAGGAGCCCAAACGGCTACAAAGGAGCCCAAACGGCCACAAAGGAGCCCAAACGGCCACAAAGGAGCCCAAACGGCTACAAGGATACCTGTCCAGAACAGAAGGAACCAGTATGGAGGCAAACTCAGGGACATGCAGGAGGTAAACCACAAAGGCCAACCGCACCGCAGGCGAAGGGATGCGGTTAGCCGAAAACCTCCTGAAGACGGAACCGAAGAAACCACAGGGACATGGAACCGTACCTGGGGAGGAGCAGAACCTAAGCCCAAATCGTACGCAGAGGTGGGGAAAAAAAAAACCCACTCCTCGCAACAGTAAGCCCCGCTCAGAAGGACAAACCCAGGCGGGGCGCAATGGAGCCCAAGGCCCCCAAGGCCGCTTCTCCCCAACCCCAGGAGCCTCTGCACCAGGCCCTGGGGCCGAGTCGACCTCCAAAGCCCCGGCCCCACAAGAAAAAGCCGGGGCAGCCGAGAGAGCTGAAAGAGAAGGGGCCCACTAGTCAGACCCCGGAGCATCGGCCGGAGGAACAGACTCGAATGCCTCCGCAGCTACCCCGGACGGGGCAACCCCCGAAACTGCCCAAGTCTCAGAACCTCTAACCCCGCCCCGACCCCGAAGCCTGCAGATGCGTAGGGGCCGGAAGCAGGAGGGGGAAAAACAAGGGGGTGTGGAAGAACCAAGGCCGAAGCGACCAAAACCCCCAAGTCTGAGTCCCTACACAAGCGGGGCAGCATCAGGGCGTCCAGGGAAGCGACAAACCAGAGCGCGTTGCAACATCCTACCCTGCAACGCGCGAGCTGCCTGCACCCACGGGAATTCATCAGCAGACTGGGTGAATGGAGTCACGAACAAGCAACAAAGCTCGCAGGACTCAAGGGTCGAATGTGTCACCGACCCAACAGGCAGCATGACGGAGGCAAAAACAAGGAGAGTCACCCTGAGACAAAGGGACAGAGCAACCCTCAACTCGCACAAAGCGAGAGGGGACGACTGGGTCTCCACTACCAGACCCGAGAGCCCCCGGGGGGTTTCCCAGGGCCACTAGACTGGGTCTGCTAAGGGTTATCCCAGGCAGGGTACTGCTAACCGGCGCCCCAAACTACCAAGCAAACTGCTAAAGCTGAACCCACGGGACGTGTACACTCGTGAGGGCAAAGCAGGGGGTGCCACCACACAAACGAACCTAATATAAGGGATGGGGGGAACACAAGGCAGACCCCCTTACCAGGCAAAAACAAATATAAAAGAAAAACCACACAAGTGGACAATGTACCCAGAGGGAACAGAGCCGGCCGCTGTCATAGGTGAAAACTAGCTATGCAGTATCCTGCGCCCCACCAGTGCTATAACTACCACTTACCCCAAGGTAAACAAGGAAGTGAAACCCCCAAACCCTCGGGGCGGCCAAACGCCAAGCAGCGAAAAGCCAACAGAGGTAGACCCAAGGTGACTTGTGGAAGGCAACCCCAAGCCCCAAGGGCGGTACTTACAGGGCACTCAGGGAAGGTGACCCTAAGCACATGCAGCCTGAGTACCTGAGAATACTACTCCCAGCTCACACGACCACCGTAAGAGCAGCACTGCAAACAAGTCACAGCACTGAGACAAGACTGGAGCTGGAGCCACACGACCGTGCATTATCCCATCAGCCGAGGAACTGGGGCGGGGATCGCCGGCGCGGAGGTCTGGGGCTCCCCCTTCACCCTCCCGAGGAGGGGGGAGCTGCGCAGACATGCGGCGCGGCTCGTGTGACGTCATGCTTGTTAGTTCGTTTTCCTGGGGGAGTTCTGTCCACTCGTTTGTAGATTTTTGTTGTTAACCAGAATAGGGGTTTGTTTTGTGGCGCTTACCTTTCTGGGTGCCTGTCCCGGTCGATGGCAGATATAGAATGCTCCAAATCACATGTGCATTTCTATGGGCCATTGCTCCCTGTGCCTCTCTGAGGGGGCCAGGTTCTGGCTCGTGGTCCCCGGTAGGCCTAGAACTCCACCCACATCGACTGATGCAAAATAGTTAGGGTATCCATATCAGCCATGGATAGCTCCGGGAAGCCGTAGGGGCTCCCCCCAGAAAAATACTTAGTGCCTATACTATAATAAAGGTATTTAATAAAAAAAAAAATTGCTTAATAAAAAAAATTTCAATATATTTTATTAGTAATTTAGAATTTCCTTCATTAAACTGTATCATTTTAAAAGAAAGTTAAGATATAATTTACAACTCTGGACGATCGTGGTCGTTGGCCTGCTTGCCATGTGAGAGTGTGCCGATGCCAAAACAAACCCAATACCGACCTACGGTTGTATCGACCGCAAGACCGGTAATTAAGGCTCCAGATACCGGTCTCCCAAACCGGTCGATGGAACCAACAGATCGGTAAATAAAATTGAGTTAAATCGAGTGGATATTTATAATATTAAATCCATTTTAATAGTGGCATTCTATAATGATTATACCATGTAATGACAATCATTGCTCTTTCTCTGTAATATGAAGTAAATTTAATGCAATTGTTTATCAACTGGTATGCCATTTCTTTCAGTATTAGAAATTAAGTACTGTATGTAAGATTATGAATATTATCAGTTTTCTTGTATAAAGATCAACCAATAACAACAACATTTTCATAGGAAAAAATATGGCTTGCATGCACCCATCACATTAGTGTGATGAAATTAAATGTTAAAATTGATTGAGTCTTCATTTATTTTCTTAAGAATATATGGGTTTTATTAATACAATTTTCCATAATCATGATTTCACACTATAAAATATATCCATTCTAAAATATTTATACTCTTCCTAATAAAAAATAATTATTACTGCATGTTTTACAATTGTCATTCATTTAAGGATATTTTCACCAATGTGCAAGTATAACATGTAAAACAAACATTACCCCATTCCTAAAAAGTATTTGCTTCACACGAGAGAAAAACAAAAAACTTAGGTTTTCCCAAAATAAATCATATACTTCTCAAGATACTAAAGATATTTTAGTAGTAGATCAACTCAAGTAAAGAGAGAGAAAGCAGTACAAGCCCTAATACTTCTGAATTGGGGAAGTACATAAATTAAAGTCATGAAAATGTATGTAAAAAAAGAAGAAATTCATAAAATTCATATCTGAATTCACCTTCAGTCAGACCATCATATAAATACAACCACCGGAATCACTCTTTGTTCTTTCATCAGAAATTAAATTAAAAGTTCTTTATTATGATCAATTAAGGAAGTAAACCTGAGAACTCTATTGTAAGTACACTTATGAGAGGCACCTCAACCATATATATATAGTGGGGTGCAAAGGCAACAACAACATTACAACACTTCGGAAACATTAAACATACGCAATCATGATTCTCAGCGTCATAGGAAATATGCAAAGCCGCATCCATACCTTCTCTTGCTGAAGGTTCACACACATATATGGTGAACCACCAGGTAAATTTACAATGTTTTATATAACTATATTACAATTCCATTTCTATTATAGAAATTACAAGCAATTACGAAAATAAATCTCAAAGAAAATTTAAATAATAATGTTCAAAACATCTTCCCAAAACAAAATTAAAACTATTGGCACCATTTTTGTAATATGTAAATAGGTAAAGGGCATTCCCTAAATTACAAAAACAAACATTCAAATCAAACTCATGTTCTTTGATAAGAACACCTTGTGAATAAGATGTTCTTTTACAAGAACACCTTGTGAATAAGATGTTTTTTGATAAGAACACCTTGTGAATAAGATGTTCTTCAGTAAGAACACCTTGTGAATAAAAGTCCTCCGATAAGAACACCTTGTGAGTAAGATGTTTTTGATAAGATCACCTTGTGAATAAGATGTTTTGATAAGAATATCTTATAGATATGACGTTCTTCTATAAGAACACCTTGTGAATAAGACATTTCAATAAGAACACCCTTATGGATATGATGTACTTCAATAAGAACACATTGTGACTAAGATGTTTTGATAAGAACACCTTATGGATATGGTGTTCTTCAATGAGAACACCTTGCATATAAGTACAAAATAATATTTACACCTCCACAGTTGAAGGTGATGGTGCCGCCATCATAACTTTACTAATATCTGGACGAAAATTGGAAGCTCTGCCATTGGACACGTGTCCAGCCTTCGGGTTTCTGGGACGCATGATCTTGCCACTTGTGATGAGACGCCCAAATCCTTCCTGGTGAGCAAAGGCGTAACCAGACCGAATGGACCTACGAGATCTGAAAATAAAATATATTTTTAGTTTTGCTTTCTAGAGGGCGGAAAACAGAACATATTTTAGTTTTGCTTTTAGCTTTTACTGCTAACTAGGAATGTTATTTCAATGCATATTCTGTAAGAAAACTCTTACAGATTTTTTTTATATTGTTAATTAGCATCCGAGAAGCATGAAAATTCAAGTAAAAAGCCTCTACCTATCATGGTTTAGCTGTAGTGGCTTGGAAAAGTTGCATTTCTTTTGATGAAATGAGGTGGGGTGCCACACAGGACATTTACCTCAGGTTCACCTCGGTCCATTTATTTTCATTGTTTATCATTTTACTTAATTCTTATCAAAAACTAAATGACATCACAGATTTAGCACTTGCTCTTATTTGATTAGTGTTCTTAAAAAATTGTTAATCACTCATTGTTACCAAGCCTATAAATACAAATAAACCAATGACTTATAAATTCAGCATAAATATTATCTGTTGATAAATAAATTTAGCTCAAGTATTCATAAACAATGCATCACAGTCAATAACACAAACTAATATTCTCACCTTCTTGCAGACGGAGTACGGAGCATGTCATGTTCCGTGCGTTTGCTTTCCAACTTGGCATCATTGCGTTGTTTGAATCTAACTTTATCAGAGAGAGTTGGGGCAACATCCACCCAGTAGAAGCGCCAAGCCATTACAGGCAGCATTAGTATCACAATAGTCAACAATGAGGTGAAGTAGAACATCGGTTCTCCCATTGCCTGAGGAAAAATGTCATTCAATATCTCAATGACCATATGTATACATTAGTTTAACTCATTATCACAACAAGAAGAATACTGTACCATTATTTTATAATGTGCATGTACTGTGTACATGAGATAAAGTAGCGTATATCAGAATATAATAACGAGTCATGAGGGGACTGATACCAAGACCATCATTACTATTAATTTGACATAAAGGTTAACATTTTTAAATGGTGATCCAATGGTCTGGGGTACATTCTCTGCAGGGTTTCCCATACAATTATTATTATTAGTTTCCTCTTCAAGGCTTTAAGTCTCCCATCTTTCTAGAATCTGCTTATTTTATACTAAAGTATAAACAGATTTTTTTTATAAATGTCAGAACACATGAAGACTAAACCATACACCAGAGGACGAGGAGACGACGACGTTTTGGTCCGTCCTTGAACATTATCAAGTCTGGTCCACAAACGACTTGATAATGGTCCAGGACGAACCGAAAAGTTGTCCTCTCATCTTCTGGTATGTGGTTTGGTCATCCTATCTTCAGCCATGTTATTGACTTGTCTGCATCAGAATACATAAAAATACAAGATTATGAGTTTTGATGATAATATTCGTAAACAGAATAGCACAGTGATATCTAGCTTGAAATGAGGTTTGTTCAACAAAAACCAGCGTTGAATGTAATGAAATGCTATTATCTGGGAGAGCCCCAAAGGCTCCCTGGAGCTATCAGGTTAATATGCAATTAATTGGACCAGAGCATTAGTGATAGGAGTTCAGCCTACCGGGAGCCACAAGCCAGAACCTGGCCCCTTCAGAGGCACAGGGAGCAATGGTCCTGGAAAACACCCCCTGTGGTTGGGGTTTTTCCTTATCTGCCATCAACTGGGGTTTGGCACCCAGAAAGGTAGGCATAACAAAACAGACCTACAAGGCAAGAAAATTGCAACCAAAAACTGAACAGAGAGCAGAACTCTCTCCAATCCCAAGGAAACAAGCAAACGTCACACTTCATCGGCGCGTCACTAGTCCGTGTACCACTCCCTGTTCCCCCCCTTTTCCCCAGCTGGAAACCTAGCCTTAACAGTTCAGAGGCTATATATCAAAACAATGCAAAAACCACCGACCGGGGAGGGAGGGAGGGATGCCAAAGATCCTCCGGGGCTCACCCAGAAAAATGGCATTACATTAAATTCAACATTGGTTTTCTGTGGGAGCTCCTTTGGCTCCCTGGAGATACATAACCAAAGATAAGGAAAAGAGGGACTCACCTGGGAGGCGGCTGCCACACACTAGTCACACACACGGAGATGCCACACACTCCTCAACTTGAAGTTGAGACAACGGGCTGTAACCTGCGACTCAAAGCAACACAAGAACGCCCAGGCCCAGGAATGTTAACCAATTACTGGGTGGTTTTTCCCGCACCCGAATATCAGCCCAAGACATGTAGCCAAACACGGCAGCCAAAACCGTAAACTTCTTAACGTCATGGACATGAGGATAGACCGCAGGCTCGCTACACTTAATAACCCTGCAGATGACCTGGGAGACCCAAGCCCTGGAACAGGGAACAAGGGAAACCAGATCAACCCAAAGCGCACCCCTACCCACAGAAGCTGAGACGCTCAGGTAACGGCGAAGAGCTGCAACCGGGCCTGATGGCTGAGTGGACAGCGCTCAGGATTTGTAGTCCTAAGGTACTGGGTTCGATCCCAGGCATAGGGGGAAACCAATGGCAGAGTTTCTTTCACCCTGATGCTACTGTTCACCTAGCAGTAAATAGGTACCTGGGAATAAGACAGCTGCTACGGACTGCTTCCTGAGGGATGTGTAACTAAAAGGAGGCCTGGTCGAGGACCGGGCCACAGGGACACTAAGCCCCGAAATCATCTCAAGAAAGAAGATGATGCACCCCCCTGCCTGCCCAACCAAGCATCAATGACCCAAGGACCCCTCCAGAAAGCAGCCGTCTTGTTCTTCGACAGAAAAGAAGGAGAAGGCTGCAATTGAACAAACCGACTACCGACTGGAGAGAGGAAGGGTTGCTGGGGAGCCTCTGGATCTCACCCAGAAAATGACATTTCAATACATTCAATGCAAGTTTTGGGGGGGGGGGGAGCTACAGCTCCCCGGAGCTACTTATACAAAAGACGAAAACAAGAGGGACTTACTCGGGAGGCGGTCGCTGCTCGCTCCTCAATACGAAGTCGAGACAACTGGTTGCAACCGCCGACCCAAAGCAACACAGGCCCAACCAGGCCCAGGAACATTCACCAGGACCCTGGTGAATGTTCACCATTCAACATGCAGCCAGGACCCTGTTCGACCACCAAAAACTCTGTGCCCAAATGTCAGTCCAAGACATGTTACTGACAACGGCAGCAAAGCACAAACAAAAAAACGAAAGGACTGCCAGCAAACTTCATACTGCTGCCGAGACAAAGCACGCAGGTGGGACACTGTCAACGAAGCCACCTAATCACCATACAGATGGTTTAGACCTGAGTAAAAAATGCCAGACGTGAAGACTCAAGGAGAAGATCGAACCAGACACATAACGGACCAGATCGATCATCTGAAAGAGGCAGAGCCACGAGAAAACCCCTGGGTTCGGACACCGAGCAATCAGCACCTGAAAACAAGGCTGGGCCGGCCACCAAGGAGCCAGAAGAACTACTCTCCCCTGGTAAGTGTCCAAGCGAGCCAAGACTCGGAGTAACAGCGGAACTGGAGAGAAGGCTTAAAGGTAACCCCACCTCGACCAGTCCTGCCAAAAAGCATCGACCCCGACGACCTCACAGTCGGGGAAGGGTGCCACATATACCGGGAGACACCTTGACCACACTGACGCGAAGAGGTCCACGTCCAGGAGCCCATCCATCCGTCAGAGCCAACTGAATGAGTTGGCAATGACTGTCCATTCCGAGGACAGGGAAATGAACCGGGACAGGCCGTCCACCAGGACATTGGACACCCCCGAACGTGAACTGCCAGGAAAGCCAAACCCCAAGAACTCAGCAGACGAGTCACTTGAAGTAACTAGCCTCAAAGGATCGCATTGCACCCCCCTCGGTTCAAATAATGAACCACTGAGGAGCCGTCCGAATGGAGCCTGATCGTCGATACGCGAGCGACCCGAACCCTCCGAAGCGACGTCCACACCGCCACGAATTCCTGCACATGCTGTGAGGCTGACAACGTAGGGGCTCCCCCCAGAAAGCACGTTCTTCCACTCTTCCCCAACCCTCTCTCTCCCACTCTTCCCCCACCCTCTCTCTTCCACTTCCCCCCCCACCCTCTCTCTTCCACTTCCCCCCCCCCCACCCTCTCTCTTCCACTCTCCTCCCCACCCTCTCTTTTCCTCTCTCCCCCACCCTCTCTTTTCCTCTCCCCCCCACCCTCTCTTCTCCCCCCCTCCCTCTTTCTTCCACTCTCCCCCCACCCTCTCCCACTTCAAGCTCCCCTACACTCCTTCCACCTCTCTCCTACACCCTTTCCTATTCTCTCAGACTCTCCTTCACCCTCTCCCAAGTTATCTACCAAAGCTGCAAGTAATTATTACCTAAGTGTGAAGACTATGATGCACATTACCTTTGCAAGAGATCCAACATAATCTCCACCAAGGACATAGTTGTAAAAATATTGGAGCAGCAGGTAGAATATAAGTGAGCCCCATATGGTAATGTGATTAAATATGGTCCAGTAAGATGTGTCCAGACAAATCTGAAAAGATAATTAAAACAACAATAGTACACTGATAATTATAGGAACCTTATCAACATTAATGGTCAATCTAATACTCATGTTCTGTGTTTATCGAGTAATTTCCCTGCTCCATAATACAAATGTATTTTATTGTGATACATATTTAGAATCAAATGCAGTATAACTATCTACAGTACAGTACTGTATTATGATTAATCTATTTTTAATAAACATGCATCCAGAGCATCATAGAAAAATCAAACTTTGAACATAATGAAAGGTCCTCTCCAGTAGATATTTGGAGCTTAAGCATTCATATCATTAGGCCTTTAGGATGTTCCAGACCTCTGAAATTTATGCAAACCTTTCAAAAACTAGGATCAGAATCTGGTTCATTCAATGAAGTGAGGGGAGACTGAGAATCAGAGATTGACCTAAAAGACAAAGAAAATCAACTACAAAGAAACCATTGCTAGAAAGAAATTAAATGACAAAAATAACAATGATAGTTGGTAATGGATGAACAACCTTAAATTTAATTTCTCTAGCAACTGCCAGATGGCAGTGCAGGTCACCTGGGGTCCCAATCCACTACCTGTCTCAACTCACAAGTTACCAGTACTAAGTCTCATATACAGAGGGAATGATGGGGTGGAAACAAGGAGCTACTGAGGATCAACTAAAAAGGGGCATTTTATTATATTTAACAGTTAATTTCAGAGTTGGCTCCTTTTGAAGTTTCCCAGAGCTTACTCATAGTGGCACATCAGGAATGATGGCTTTGCTAAAAACCATTGATGTAATGAAATGCCTCTTTCTGGAGAATGCCCCACAAGAGGCATTCCACAAGGGGCATTCCAGCAATTCCAGCATTCGAGACCATTCGAGCTGGTCTCTTTGAGTGGCTTGTCTGTTGGACTCTCAGAGTTTGGCTCTCTGTGCCATTCATTTTGGGGAGTGTCCATCGTCCTGGCCAATGGTCTCTTTCAGTTCATTCCCATCTCCACTGAATGGCCCGTTGATGCTGCCTCTTTCCTGTGGCTTTGCCGGACGTTGGGTGCCACGTCGTGAAACTCTTCGCATCTGTGTGTTCTTGGAGCGTTCCTTTGTATGTGGTGCCATTCCCCCAACTGCTAGGCCCTGGTGGTGAATGCCTGTTGCTTTGGGTTCTGGCAAATTTGGAGTCCAATGGGGAAGGGTGATCTTTCTGGCTCCTTGGTATGCGGCCCAGCCTTGGTTTCAGGTGCTGCTTGCTCTGTGTCTGAACGTGAGTTTCTTCCCGGCTCTACCTCCTTCAGAGGGTAGGGCCGGTGATAGGGCAACTTCCTTTCCCAGTCAATGGCAATTATGACATACAGCACAACCTCAATTCAGCGTACCCTGATTAGGCAAATCTCCGGCTAGGTTGCGCACTTTTCAGGCTGGATTTACTTACCTGTTTCAACGAACATTGGTTCGCCGAAGCAGGGAATGTGAGGATTTACTTACGATGTTGGGACACAGTTTACAGACTGGTGGAAATCTTTCCCATTGCCTGTATATCAGAAGTTACAATTAATAATTCCTTCTTATGACAAGTTGGATCATACAGGTGGACAACACAACAAGTGAATCATATTAACCAAACACCAGCCAGAGTGGTCCACACAACAAGTGAATGACTGAGTTTCCATTATTTTCTTTCACTGATTTATGGCACACCTATCTTTGTAAATTAATTTAAAATCTGAAGTGTGGTGAAATCTCCTTATAGACATATCCTGTGATAAAACAACATAAATGAGGGTGGACAGATATAGGGAATACTGTACTGTAAACTTCACTTGGTTTTCCTTTGATGTGTCATCATAGTTCAGTGACCCCATGACTTTGAAAGTTTCAGATTAATAAATCTTTTCTAAAACAGGTGTTTTAATTATCAAAATTAATAATTAATTGAACAAATCCACAAGAGCCGTGATGGGGATTTGAACCTGATGTGTCTGAAAGCATCCCAGACGCTGCCTTAATCGATGGCAGCATCTGGGATGTTCTAAAACCGAAAGCATCCCAGACGTCTGGGATGCTCTCGGACGCAGGTTCGAATCCTTGTCACGGCCCTTGTGGATTTGTTCATTTGATGCATCACGCAATTGTGATTTCTGTGTGTAATAATTATTAATTTTAATTATCAAAGAGCCAAAGCTCAACCCCCACAAGCACAACTAGGTGAGGTAGGAGATACAAGTCCCGAGATGTATAAGAGCCGACAATAGAGGCATCTGAGGGGCCTTAGCCAAGAAAAATTTACCGCCAAACAATATTATCTATTAAAATATCAATTTGATGGCTCCAATTACAATATAGTACTGTCAAAAAATCACAGCAGGCATACAAACCTGCATGGTGACCACAATGACAAGGATTGTGGCTACAACACTACCAAATGTCTGCTGGTCCGCCATACTTCGCCCCTCCTGGTCCATACCATTGTAGTAAGCTCCTGCATCAGAAAATATGCATTATATTATACTGTACACTACATTAATTACTGCACTTAATTAAGTAATGAAGTTTAATGAAGACTGAACAAGAATTTTTCATAAACATGATTATACTAAATGATTCTCAAGGCAGAAAAAATAATCAGATGTTAGTAGTTGCATCTCTCACTCATAATTGCTGCAATTAATAAGAGTTAATGGGTAGTGACAATATGATTATGGTATTTATCTAAATTTTAAAGGTATATATATATAAGTATCCACTCAATTTAACGGCCTATATGGAGCTGTACCCAGGTCATTATTTCTGGGGTTCTGGTATTTCCGAAGTTGTTGAAGTGTTGGTAATATTTCGAGTAACATTCAGGTAAGATATATTTTAAATAACTAAAATGAAATAAAGTTCATTGTGTAATTGCTTTCCAAGTTAGTTCCTGTGTTAGTGCCCATTCTATCACAGGTTACAATTAATAATTCCTTCATATGACAAGTTGAATCACACAAGTGGACAAGTGGACCACACAAGAAGTGAACCATATTAACCAAACACCTCCTTCCCTCACTGCCACTCTTCCCTTACCACAACCACCCTCCCTCCCTCACTACTTCTAGCCCTCGTTGCCTCACCCCCCCTCAATGTCTCCCTCCATCACTGCCTCCCATCCCTCCCTTAATACCTCCCATCCCTGAATGCCTTCCTCCACCACTACCTCTCCCCCCTCAATGCCTCCCTCCATCACTGCCTCCCATCCCTCTCTCAATGCCTTCCTTCATCACTGCCTCCCATCTCTCCTTCAATGCCTCCCTCCATCACTGCCTCTCTCCCTGCATGCCTCCCTCCATCACTGCCTCCCATCCCCCCCCCTCAATGCCTTCCTTCATCACTGCCTCCCATCTCTCCTTCAATGCCTCCCTCCATCACCGCCTCTCCCCCTCAATGCCTCCCTCCATCACTGCCTCCCATCTTTCCTTCAATGCCTCTCTCCATCACTGCCTCCCATCCCTCCCTTAATGCCTTCCATCCCTCCATTAATGCCTTCCATCCCTCCCTTAATGCCTCCCATCCCTCCCTTAATGCCTTCCATCCCTCCCTTAATGCCTTCCATCCCTCCCTTAATGCCTTCCATCCCTCCCTCACTGCCTTCCTCATAACATGAGAACAGCAGGCTATGGAGGAGGGAGCTACTAACAGGGTTGAGGGAGCGACTAATGGGGTCGAGGCTAGGCATAGAGGCAGACATGTCTGTCAGCGCCTGCTCGCAGACGTCAACTGTGCATAGCTCATAAATAAAACTATATTTGTTTAATTAATAAATAGAAAACTATAAACTTGTTAATGATTGGTAATGTATAGTAATATATGTAATTACCTAAGTGTAATTACCTAAGTGTAGTTACAGGATGAGAGCTACGCTCGTGGTGTCCCGTCTTCCCAGCACTCTTTGTCATATAACGCTTTGAAACTACTGACGGTCTTGGCCTCCACCACCTTCTCACTTAACTTGTTCCAACCGTCTACCACTCTATTTGCGAAGGTGAATTTTCTTATATTTCTTCGGCATCTGTGTTTAGCTAGTTTAAATCTATGACCTCTTGTTCTTGAAGTTCCAGGTCTCAGGAAGTCTTCCCTGTCGATTTTGTCAATTCCTGTTACTATTTTGTATGTAGTGATCATATCACCTCTTTTTCTTCTGTCTTCTAGTTTTGGCATATTTAATGCTTCTAACCTCTCCTCGTAGCTCTTGCCCTTCAGTTCTGGGAGCCACTTAGTAGCATGTCTTTGCACCTTTTCCAGTTTGTTGATGTGCTTCTTAAGATATGGGCACCACACAACAGCTGCATATTCTAGCTTTGGCCTAACAAAAGTCATGAACAATTTCTTTAGTATATCGCCATCCATGTATTTAAATGCAATTCTGAAGTTAGAAAGCATAGCATAGGCTCCTTGCACAATATTCTTTATGTGGTCCTCAGGTGATAGTTTTCTATCTAGAACCACTCCTAGATCTCTTTCTTTATCAGAATTCTTTAAAGATTTCTCACATAATATATAGGTTGTGTGGGGTCTATGTTCTCCTATTCCACATTCCATAACATGACATTTATTAACATTAAATTCCATTTGCCAAGTGGTGCTCCATATACTTATTTTGTCCAGGTCTTTTTGAAGGGCATGACAGTCATCTAAATTTCTTATCCTTCCTATTATCTTAGCATCATCAGCAAACATGTTCATATAATTCTGTATACCAACTGGTAGATCATTTATGTACACAATAAACATCACTGGTGCAAGAACTGAACCCTGTGGTACTCCACTTGTGACATTTCTCCATTCTGATACATTGCCTCTGATTACTGCCCTCATTTTTCTATCAGTCAGAAAATTTTTCATCCATGATAGAAGCTTACCTGTCACCCCTCCAATATTTTCCAGTTTCCAGAACAACCTCTTATGTGGAACTCTGTCGAAAGCCTTTTTTAGGTCCAGATAGATGCAGTCAACCCAACCATCTCTTTCCTGTAATATCTCTGTGGCTCGATCATAGAAACTGAGTAAATTCGATACACAGGATCTTCCAGATCGAAAACCATACTGTCTGTCTGATATTATATCATTTCTCTCTAGGTGTTCTACCCATTTAGTTTTGATTAGTTTTTCCAATACTTTCACTATTACACTTGTCAATGATACAGGTCTATAATTGAGGGGGTCTTCCCTGCTGCCACTTTTGTAGATTGGAACTATGTTAGCCTGTTTCCACCCGTCTGCTACGATTCCTGTACACAGGGATGCCTGAAAGATCAGGTGAAGTGGAATGCTGAGCTCAGATGCACATTCTCTCAGAACCCATGGTGAAACGCCATCTGGGCCAGCTGCTTTGTTCTTACCGAGCTCCTTGAGCATTTTTTCCACTTCGTCTCTAGACACCTCTATGTGTTCTATGTTGTTCTCTGGAATTCTTATTGTATCTGGTTCCCTAAAGATTTCATTTTGTACAAACACACTTTGGAACTTTTCGTTTAGTGTTTCACACATTTCCTTTTCATCTTCCGTGAATCTATTTCCCATTTTCAACCTCTGAATATTATCCTTTACCTGCAATTTGTTGTTTATGAATTTATAGAATAGACCTGGTTCTGTTTTACATTTGTCCGCAATCCCTTTTTCAAAATTTCTTTCTGCCTCTCTCCTCACTGCCGTGTAGTTGTTTCTCGCATCTTTGTATCGCTGGTATGTTTGGGGGTTCGGCCTCTTCCTGTATTGATTCCATTTTTGTGTCTTTCGGTCTCTAGCCCTCTCGCAATTTCTATTGAACCAATCCTGTTTCCTAGTTCTGCATCTCTGTTTTGGTATAAATTTTTTTGTGCCTTTATCATATATTTCACAAAACTTGCCATACATCTCATTCACTTCCTTGCCTAGCATCAAGTCTGTCCAATTATACTCACTAAAAAAATTTCTAAGGTCACCATAATGTCCTCTCCTGAAGTCTGGTTTTTCAACTGCTTCAACCTCCTTATTTTCTTCCAGCTTATAACGCATTGCATACTTTATTCCCAAAAAGACATGGTCACTTTTACCCAAGGGAGGAAGGTACTGAATGTCAAATATCTCTTCCTCCTTCCTGGTAAATATCAAATCTAGCATGGAGGGAACGTCCCCTTCCCTCATCCTCGTAGCTTGTTTAACATGTTGATACAAGAATGTTTCCAGGATGAGGTCTACAAATTTACAGGTCCAAAAATCTTCTGTTTTAGCTTCATATGCTTCCCAGTCTATGGATTTCAAGTTGAAGTCACCGACTATCAACAGTCGTGATCTATCGTTATCCGCTCTCGCTATAATCTCTCTCATTATTGTTATAAGACCTTCACGTTTACTATCTAGCTCCTCCTTTGACCATGTGCTGCTTGGCGGTGGACTATATGCATTTATCATCATTAGTTTATCATCCTCATAGCAGATCTCTAGTGCTATTATGTCAACTTCTTGTGGATTGGCAGTCATTATTTCCTTCACCTTTAGGTGTTCTTTTACCAGCACAGCAACGCCACCGCCTTTCCTAATTTTTCTGTCCCGTCTCCAAATTGAGTAGCCCCTTGGGAATATGACCTCATTTAAAATTACATCTTCAAGTTTTGTCTCCGTGAGTGCAACAATGTCTGGTGTCTGCAGCTGTATTACATCACTTAACTCCAGTATCTTCGATCTCACTCCATCTATGTTGGTGTATGCAATCTTCAGGAACTTGTTCCCCCTCTCCTTATTCTTCACTCCCCCTCTCTCTATTGATTTTGTTGGTTTGCCTTTATGTACCACTTTACTGGTTTGCCTACCCCTATCACTTTGTAGAAAAAAGAATTTATTTCTTCTTCATTCCTGCTCTCATTTAAATGTTTTGCCTCGGCGAGGTTCAGTTTCAGCTTCTCTCTATCTTCTTTTGAAAGATCTCGTCTTAATGACCACCCTTTCCCATCCTCATCCCTTTGCAATTTTCTAGCATTCCTTAGTACTTCTTCCATCTGTTTGGCACCGTTTAGGGTGATCCTCAAAGGTCGATCTTTCCCTTTTACGTACCTGCCTATTCTCCTGTAGTCGCACACATTCTCTCTGTTTGTAAGACCTTCCACGAGGCCAACAATTTTATCTACTACTTTAGCTTCTTCTACAGCTCTTTCTGACCTAGATGTTATCGCCTTTTCTTTGCAGCCAAAAATGATCAGGGACTTACTCCGATCAACTGTGTTTTGCACCAACTTCGGGTTAGATGCCAATTCTTTCCTCACTTCTAGCCTAATGTTTGTTTTATCTTGGTTGCTGCAGTGTTTGACTTCCTTTACTGCTTCTTCTATTTTTTCCTTCTCCTTGGCCACTTGTGCATAAGTGAGTTGCATATCTTTCTTGCACTGTTCTATTCCCTGTGTAACTTCCTCCATCTGTGCTGACAAAAGCTGTTTCTCCTGTTGAATTTCCTTGCCTAACCTATTGTAGTCA